GAAGATGTGTCGAGATGGTGCAGAGCGCGGGCTCAAATCGGATAGTTTGTTCATTAGAGATATTTTCCGACGGATGAACGGCAAGAGGCGTTCGAGGGAGCGTGCTCAGAGTGTATTTGTCTTGATAAGTTTGAGGCAGGAAATGAGACTGTCGATAGAGAGAAGAGAGTCCGTGTGCTCTCTCGCCTCCCTTAAAAGAAGCAAAACCGCCAGAAATGAGGATTTCGATTCATTTAACGAGAAATAACGGTTGTACCGAAGTATCTCAACAGTCGAGGAAGCACAACCTTGCACAAGCGCGAATCCTTCAAAAGTAAATGTCTCGCTAAATTGTATGCTGTATCTATTTAGGAAGTTTTTAACCGCGCTGTTAGAATTTCTACACTGAGAAAAAAATGATTGCAGATATATCATCATTTAGCTTTATAATCATTTTCGGTGCCAACTATATATATTTTTTGGTAGAAATATAAATATAATTATTATTACTAACGTTATAGCAGTAATAAACTGATAAAATGATAGTTATATTCAGTATTTATTATAATACAAATATAATTTTCTTTAAGTTTATTCTCGATAACAATAAAAAAAATATTTCCTAATCTATAAATATGTACGGTTGAACAAAAAAATCAATATTAGCGTAATTTTTTATTTATTAAGTATTTAAAACTAAAATTGGAACTTCTGATCACAATTATTTTATCTTACAATTATAGTCAAATTTTCGTCTCAATATATCGTATTACGAAAAAATTATGGCCAAAATAAAAAGATTAATGGAACGATCAAATAAAAAAACAGAATAGAATAAATGTATTGTCTTTAAAGAGCAAGTGTTCCGCGATGGCAGTTGACAGAATTCCATACAATACAATAAGAAGTATTAAATATATCTAGTTTGCAATAAATAAATACGTATTTATATTTATATATTGTACTTATACATTTATATATTTGCACTTAAATATTGTGTTAAAAATGATCGATAAAAGAGAATGAAAAGATAAAAAGAAGTCATTCATTTTCCAACATACATTGCGCTCTGACTCTTTTCAAAGCACAATTTCAAGAATAGGAACCTAACTGCATCCGAATATCCGCCATTATACATCGATCGCAGTCAGAATTTCATTGGTATTGCGACCATTTGGAAGGCTCGTAAAAGGGCGATTGACTCGACTGCATCGCGTTACTTTTATATTCCAAAAGCGCATATAAAAATTAATGTAAATGCAATGGCTGTTAACTCAACGAGCAATAATCGCACGTTTAAGACAAGCGACAGAGACTCCTGTATATCCTAAAAACTGGAATAATCAACTTCATTGTAATGCTTGAAAGTGGAAAAAAATAGAACTAGTATACGTTCAGAAATTTCTACTTTAAAACTTTAAAATCTTTAACAATTAAATATAATTAATGTAAAAGCTTTATAAATTTCACTTACTCTACGATCAAAAAAACGATCGAGTTTATTAGTTATAATTTAAATATAAAAAAAAATCTTTCTTTCAAAAATAAGATAATCAAGCGTTTTAATTATGATTAGCCCCAGCGAATCTTCACGGTCATGAATATAAGCAATGTTGATGTTAAGAAGACAGATATTAACTCATCTAATTATTTCTTAATATCGTTCGAATAAGTACTTGCTCTTATATTCACCGAGTACTTGCTTTTATCCGTTGCAAGCAGTTTTATCAAAAGTGTTATCGATTTTATACCTTCAGCGCGACCAGCAGAAAGAGGATGACAAAGCAGGAGCGAGACAGAATGAGGTGAAAGGAAAGAGAGGCAGAGAGAGAGGGAGAGATTTTCGCTCCCGTATCAGTGGGCAAGGCCCGTTTGACCTGGCACACATGCCGCCCATAGATCAACCAGAACCCTTAGGCCGAACCCCACCATGCCACGGGCTAACCATTAATTTACAACCCACAGAGTAACCCCATGCCTCAACCCCTGCATACAGGATCCGCGTCCCCTTGCGGCAGATATGAGCTACGACGTGGCGCTGAGGGATTCAACCGCTCCAGTTCCCGGACGGTCCCTTCTATCTCTCCATTCGGTCTCCTCCGCATCGCCGCGGCCGTCTCCGTTGCGCCCAACCCTTAAACGATCTCCACCTACCCGAGAAATACCCCCGTTATATCACGGCGAAAGAAATTTAAATCTATCGGCGGCACATTTCGATTAATCTACAACGATAACTCGCGGATAGAGCTAGGGAGGACGTCTTGCAACGTAGACTGATTTCGGGTAAAATATTATTATTTGCATCTTTAATGCTTTTTAGCTAAATAGATTATGTATCCAAAGAGAGCGAAGAGATTCCCTATATATTTTATGATTCAACTGTTAATATAAGAACAGATATACATCTTCGTTAATCACCTGTGTAATTCTACATCTCTGACGAAAAAGATAGCTCTGTTAATCTCCGAACGCTACAATCTCGACCTTAGACCTCTTCAGCGATGAGACGGATTTACCCAGCTCGACGTGTTCATAACGAGCTCGCCGGTGGAGGGAGTAAAGAACAAAACTCTTAATTGTCAGCGGACTTCAAACTATCCAGGACACGGAAGAAAGAAGAGACTAGGAAGGAAGCAGATTCGCAAAGATTGAGAGGAAAAGGGAGAGAAAGAGAGAGAAAGTCGCGAATAAATGCGAGGAGCCGTAAGAGTGTGGGAAATGCTCTTTGATTTTGCGGGCTTTATTTTCGCTTAATAAGCTGGTGCGAATAGGCCCGGCTGTTGCTTGTGCTTTGTAACTCGTCGGAAGTAAGTTGTCCCCTGTTTCGTTTTGTTGTCCAGCCAGGTTCCTTCTCTCCTCCTCGTGTCCCGACCTCCCAACCTCCTCTCCCATCCTCCTTCCTTCTCCTTCCCGCTCCTCCCGCGGGAATGAAAGGAACGAATAATTAGAGAAGGTTGGCGGGCACGGCCCGAAAGTTTCTGGCCAATTAATTAGACGGAGAAATGCACGGCACCGGAGAGGTAACCGGCGCATAAGCGCCAGAGACGGCAATTTAAACAGCGACAATTCGACTGCGATTATCGCTGCACAAACGTTTTGATGGCGCGCGCTTTTATAATGTAAAGACTTCGGTGTTGATAATGGCGGATATTAAGGACTTGAATACATAATAGATCCGGTGCACTATGAAATTCATAGAATTTAGAATTAAAAAGATTGAATAGGTAAAGTATAGAAAGGAAAGCTAGAAATAAAGAGATAAATGCGAAAGATCTACAGAAAGAAAAATTATATACCGTAGAAAAATTCTCAAGTCAAAATTGCAAATAGGAAAAAGTAAACGTTCAAAAGAGAATTTAATTAGACGTAAAATATATATAATTAAGAGAAAAAAGTATTCATTACCTCCTATTTCTTTAATTTACATTCAAATGATTACAATAGCTAAATTGTGAACTACATATATAAATTGCAAAAGATAAATCCTTTTTTAAGAATGATATAAAAATATTCTTTAATTAATTTTTACGACTTTTATTTATAATAATTACAATACGAGACATTTTTAGAATTTTTTCTGCCATATTTTCTGAAATATTATCTGATGTATTATTTCTGAAGTATACACAAGTGCCTAAGCAAATTTTACGAGTTTAAGTTATACTTGTCACCGTAAGCCTACAATTCATTCGTATCTAAATGGAAATCAAGATCGAAGCAGTAGAAAAGAAGATACCTGAAAAAAATCGTACCGAATAATCGCAAGGCAGGACGTCGTTATTTATGTACATGTTTAAAACACCTTTACACGTTGCGTTCCGATAATGGTATACCCGCGGCTAAGCAGTATTGACAAGTCACGCTCTGTTGTCTTCGTCGGTCTTACAATAATAATAAAATATCGGTTTTACATTCGATGGGCGATAAGACGCACGCGCTCCCCCTTTTCACACCGGGGTAACACTGGGGTATATAGCAGCGCTGGACGCACCCCTTCGACCCTCCCGCCGCCGGTCCCTCTTCTTTCGACCCTCGTCGTCGGACTCGCCCCTCGTTTCCTCCACTTAAAAACCGGTAATTACTCTGATGCTGGTGCGCTCTGGCATTTACCATCCGCTTCGGTGTTACTCTGTTTTCTGCTTAACAGCGACACTCGACCCGAAACTCGATTTTCGCAGCACGCTATATATCATTGCATTATACTGCGCATTAGTCCTCGTGATGTGAACAACGTAGTGAATTAATTTCGCAGTGAGTATCAAAAACGCTACCGTAAGCACCTTCGTAGCACGTCAGTTATTTTATGTAACGTTTTACAGGTCGCATAATTTCGCTTTAACCACATTTCTTTCAAAAAATTATAATTCGACTCTGTTACAGTTATTATTACTTAATAATTATTATCATATATTGTAATCATTATATTATAAATTAAATCATAACTTTAATATCATATTAAAAATAAACTGCATTATATAATATATAAGATTATCTCTCACCATAACTCAGAACTATTTTTCCTATATTTATTAGGTTGTATTTTTAATTTTCCCTACTATAATTATTTGTTATAATTTACATTTATTTCCTTTGTGATTGTAAAGTGAAGAGAACGAAACAAGAAAAATGTAAGGATCAGATTTATGAGCGCTATACGATCGGTATACTTATTTTTAGCAAAGCCAACCTTGGCACGTCAATCATGTTCGCGTTTTCGGCGCTTAACGACCAAAATAAAAAAATCTATAATGAAAATTTCCGGAAAACTGACATGTGGCTGTGACGTCATAAATTTTAAAAGGACATTTGAAGTCATACCAAATTATTTATATATGAAGATGTACTTGACATATTTTCTATAGTAGACGTTAATTGATATTTGCAAGAAACACATAAATATTTTAGATCTTAGACAAACACTAAAAAAATAAGAATAAAAAATCCGGCAAAGTTAATAAAAAAAATTAAGTTTAAAAAATAATATGTAACTTCCCCCTTCACATTATACATGTATTTCTTACCTTGATCGTCGTGTGGTGGGATCTTTCATAACCATGACCTCTGTGATGTCTCCATACTTGGTGAAATACTCCCTGAGGCTCTCTGAAACAATAAAACAATAAAATTTGATTATATCTTGTACAATGATAAATTATCATATGTTATCAAACATTTTCAACGACATACGAGGCAATATAATGTTGAAATATTTCAACGTTATATAATTCTCTTATCGTAAAACATCATATTATATCAATTATTCAAAGAAACATCGAGAAACGTCATTTTTATCACAATGCACATTTGCCCTTTTTTTTATGGAAAGTGTTCTGTTACGCAAACGTATGTCTGTAACAAAATATGGCATCGCGACGGAAATCCAAATTATCCCTTCGCACAGGCATCTGTCAACCAAAGTTAGAGCTGAAGGTAACACAGAAGATCACTGACGCTAATTGGAATTAGTAGATAACAACGCGAGTCGACACTTCGGGGCGTAATCCTCGTAGCCTGATAAACGCGGTGCGTGCGTCCAAAGTAAAGCTTTAGCTTAACACGACCTAGCTTTGATGGTAGCTAATTCTACACATTGTGCACCTGCTATGACGAGTTTGCCCAACGACCGTTTTCCGTTAATGCAAATAGATAGAATTATGATAAAATTAGTGTCGTAGAACGTGCAATAAAAATGACATCACATTAATAATAATAAAGTTATAACTAATATAAATAATAATAAATAAAGATCAGTGTTTTCATTCTTGATCCTTTACTCCAGCCAACTTTTATCATTTTCCACTTAGAAAAATAACATTGTGAAACAAATTATTCAAATAAAAGCATCTTGAAAAAGATACCTGCGTCACAAAGACATGCGTTACGAAGACAAATCTGCAGACTAAAATTGGTTCTCAAACAGTGCCGGAAATGCTGATATCTTCTTCTGTACATAGCGAACAACAAAAAGGAACGAAAAAATCGCATTCAGTGTCTGGTCTCTTTTTGCTTTTTAGTTGGCCGAGAAATTATCCAATCGCGCACGTGCCATACGATCAATGCGACCGATGTAACCAATGTAGAGCTTCCTCGCTTCTCTCCACCAGGGACACCCCCTTGACCCTTTTCGTAGGTTTATAGCGAAAAGCTGAACACTGGCGGCGGGCCAGCATGGCCGCGCTCCAAATACGTCTTACACCTTATCTAATTATACGCTGTTTCATCCAGTCCACTTTAAAGACTTCGTAATGTTCGGCGGTTACGATCGCGGATGAGCTTCAATAAATCCTCAACACAACTTTAGGACGCGTCGCGATGCGCAAAAATAAATATTTAAATGTTTGCTTCTTCATGTTAGTGCATGATTTTCAATGAAACTTGAAACTTGGAAAAGATTTATTTATGTATACAATTATTCTTTATATAAGATAAATATAATTATTTTTAGGTAATAACAGTTTTTTAATTTGCAGAATTATAATTAGAAGCTCAAGCTTAAAATTATCAAATATTGAAATTTCAAAAATTATAAAAATTTAAAAAAATTGCATATCCATTAAAATAATAAAAATGCAATAAAGATACTATTAAAAAAATATGAAATGAAAAAAAAAATATGAAATTGGAAAAAACATTGCCTATTAAATATTGTAGAAATGCGAATCTTGATTATTGTTAGCATTTTCCGTGCGAAATGCGAGTCAACGAGTGACTACAATCGTGGAGGCCTTGGAGTGTTTGATAATTGTTATTACCGGGGCGCGGAAAATACGAGATAACTGGACTTGCAAATTCAGCGCACGGCATTAATCAATGAATTATTGGTATCTCCAGGTCATTAGCCGCCGGGCACCACCTGTTTGGTAACGAGCCCCGCGCATAAATTACACCCGGTCCCTTCACTGTTAATTAGTGGCACCAAGTCGGAATTCTTAAGGAGGCGATACAGCGAGAATCTGTTATCAACCCCACACCGGTTAATGTTCGTTTCATGATGAAACATTTAAAAGACAATTAGGCTAGACCGGAGACATTGACGTCGTCGTTTATTACGCCGTCATCCCTCGCGGAAATAAGATTTTGTTGATAAAAAAGGGCATTATCAAAGCATGCCGTTGAATTGCTTCTTAATGGATTTGTAATTTGCATATAATTCAAAGAACTTTTTTAGAGGACAAAAAACGAGATTTTTGAAGGTTCAAATTTTGGAAATTCACACACGAAGAGTAATAAAAGGACAATGACTGATCGCGTTTTCTCTATTCAAAAGCCTTACTAAATACAAAGAAAAGACTAATAAATTCTCTAATCCTATTTAGAAACATTGATAAAAACCCATGGAAGAAAGATAAAAAAAATATTCTTAAATCTCCTAAATAAATTTAGAGAGAAAAATATAGCAGAGTCTCTAAATACATTAGAGAGAAAGGTAGGATATATAATCAATCTAAAAATTTATTTAATACTTATACAAGCTTTTATTATTTTCCGTAATTTTTAAAAAAATTAACATTTAATTTTTTAATCAACACATAATAATATTTTAAATTTATTATTGTAATGCAAGTCGTACTGAAAATATGTTTAAATTAGAAAAAAGTATATCTTCTTTTTAAAGAATTTTCTGAATAAATGTTTAAAATATTTATATTGGGAAAGTTTGTTCCGTTTTTTGTATTTATACTATTGCCATCTCTTAGCAGAAAATGGAACGGATTTTCCATTCAACTCAATATTTTTATATTACTCACACGTTAAGATTACAGGTTTTCCGAAACACAATTTTTTAAATTTCACAACAGTACCTTGATAATTTTTTAAACTCGCTATAACGTCGCCTTACTACAGAAACGTCAGCTAAATTGAGAGGGTTGGATAGATCCCCGTTGAACGGGCTTGCCAATTATTCCTTAATTTGTCCCGGCTCCCGGATTGATGGAAGCAATTTCGTCGTTCTCGCGAGAAGACGCTCTTAAAACGCGGCCACGATCCGCCGAAATTTACGGCTGTCATTTCCTTAATTGTTCTCCGGCACAACTTATTTTTCACGCGCGCGGCCCTCGGCCGTCTCTCGCATTCTCATTTCAGCCGTTCCGGTCGCTCGGGTATAGGTAGCCACTCGTGCCTTGGCCCTTTGCCGGTGACGCGACCAGCTTACTCAGCCCCGAACTCTTCCCTGCTCCGAATGGCAACAAACGGAAGCTGGGAGCGATACGTTGTCGACTTGGAATGAAGAAGTGCTCGGAGGAAATGGAATGTTTACTTGTAACTTTCTTTAACTCTTCTCTCAAGAATGCAGTAATTTATAGTGTTGAAAGCAAAGAGAACTGCAGTTCACTTGTGTTACAGTAGCAGCTGGTTGATTAACTTGGGTATATGTACAAATAGAATAAACAAAGAAAAAGACAAAACCACATTTTTTTTAGTATATATAAAACTTGTAGCGAATCCTGTAATATGTAAATAATATTTGAATTTTTTCAATTGTATCTTCTTTACGATACAATAAAACTTAAAGTTCTATTTGGAATAGAGGAAGAAATTACAGTTAAAGAGTTTACGAGCGGTGAATTTGCCGAAGTGGCATGCATTGTATTGCGTTTTGCATTGGTAATGTGCCAACCACAGTTTTCTTCGGCAAAAGAATGCTGCGTTTCTGTCGAGTTTGCAAACTTACGTTTTATATATCTTAACGTAAAATACAGTTGTTCGTACATAACACGTTTATACCACGTTTTCACAAATATAAAGTACTCGTTTCAAATTTGAAAAGATTCAGACAGATGACACGTTTTTATATTTAAAATGTTGACGAAAGAAAAAAACATATATACAGTTTAAAAGAGAAATTCTAAATTTTCATCTCTACAATAGTCAGATTTACATATATTACAATATTAGTTAATTGGTAATCTTTCGAACAAGAATAGAAAGACTCATATATGTTTAATTTCGAAAAAACTGAACTGAAATAAATCTTTTTAGTACACATAGAATTGGTAACAATTTAAAATTGTTGTTTGTATCTGAACTATTCTAAGTCTTTTAACCTAACAGCAAACTTAGCGTGTTGAAACTTTCGTTTCAGCAATATATACGATTCCAAGCAGATCGAGGTGCTAGAAGTCTCAATAGCTTCTAAAGAATCGCCCAAAGAGCGGAGCTAATCCGGAACTTCTTCCTTACTTCCAAATCCGCGGATGCTGATGTGGGGACCTTTACTTGCCTCAGACCTCTTCATTCTCTCTGTCTATCCAGAGACCTTTCGTCTCGCGATCGCGCCGCATCGTGCTTGGAGCATATTGGTCGTCGTGCCATGAGAGGAGCTGCAGAACCGACTATCCGCGCGGTAGTCAATGGCGGAAGAAGAGACGGCAAGGTGGCGGGCTCCATTCAAATGAGATTCAACGCTGGAGAGGAATCTCGGAAGAGATGCCAGGATGCTGAAGAGGTAGCGGGAGAGACGGTACAGATGAGGGGGAGGCAGAGGCAAGCATGGTGCACGCTGGCCTCCGCTCGAGTGTTTTTCTATTCAGAGAAGACTCGCATAAAGTCCTATATACCGAGTTCTATCCTATCCTATCTCCCGGATCCCCTAGGAGCCAGGGTGGATACGGGATGAGAGAGGTGAGGGGGCGGTTCTCCCCCATTCCAGAGAGCCGTTCATTGAAACGAATGGCCTTGTCCGCCTCTTCCTCCTCGTCCCTTCGTCTTCTCTATCTTCACCCCGCTCCCATCTCGTCTTCACAGTCTTCCCATTTCTCTCTCTTTCCCTTTTCTTCCTCCATGCCATCCTATCCCTGACCCTCGAACGTACCTCTCCTCCTTCTCTTTCCGATCTCCAGCCGCACTTCTTTCTTCGCTTCTTCTTCGAGTTACGCCTCCCGCGAATCTGCCAGGATTACTTATCCTTCGCCAAAGGACGCTCAAGGCTCAACCTAAAGCATCATTTGAATAAACGCGGAGTTACTGCGCGCCTGTTCCCGGCAGGCTGCAGGCGGGAACGGAGCGGGCGAGAGATAGAGTCTCTAGCGCGCGCGCGCGTCTCATGGCTATATTAATGACGTCGTGATACCTCCGAGGCAAAAAGAGGACTCCTCGCTCTC